AAGACCAACTCTCTCAGTAATCTTTCTTAAAACTCAAAGATAATTATAAAAAAGTTCCTTGCAGAGAACACAGAGATTACTCATTAAACCACCGTAATATTACCAACAGTTTTTGCCACCTGTCCCAGGCCTAGGACTTCTCTTAAAATAACTAAGCCATATTCACCCCTTCCCATTTTAAAGATTAATTAACGCAAAGGAACAATTTTTAAACAAAATCATGAAGAAGTTACCTCTTAAATCAGAAGGCATATATTTACTACATACATATTTATGTGCTAAATCATATACTAAGGGCTTTGCCTAATTTTACCTTATATAACCTACGTAAAGTCAGGTGGGAAGTAATTATGTAATAGGTGTGAGGGCTGGGGGAAGGAAGTAGTAGTTTTATCTAATATTCATAAAGAAATTCAGCAAACAGGACCAATGAAATCAACAAGTGATTGAAAGTAAAGTGAGCCATGAATAGGCTGCTTACAGATCAGGAGGTAAATTAAAAACAAAACTGGTCCTTGATAAAGTCCAATCATTGCCATTAATCTCAAGTTTCCTTCTCATTTCTCTTTTTGTGTTCCTTACAATTAATTTGTTGAAAAAAACAAGTTGTGTACCTCTAGGACTTCCCCAAAGCCTAGATTTTACTGACTATATCTCCATGGTATCATTTCGTTTGTTGCCTTATTTCTGTGTTTCTTGTAAACTGGTAGGTAGAGCGAGAAGCTTGATGAGATTCAGGTTCAAGTTCAATTTTTTGGCAGGAATACTTACTAGGTTGAATTGTGAATTTTCATTGAGAGAACTCTAACATCTGGCTGTCTCTCTCTGTGATGTTAGCAGCCACTGATAATCTTTACTTACGCCCAGGAATTCACTACAAAATGCTGATGTTCTAGCGCATCTAGTGGCTCAGTCCCGTTGAAGTGTCTGTCTTCGGCTCAGGTCACGATCCCAGAAGTCCCCCATCAGTCTCCCTGCTCAGTGGAGAACCTGCTCCTCCCTCTACCACTCCTCCTGCTTGTACTCATGCACACACACCCTCTCTCTCTGTCAAATAAATAAATAAAATCTTAAAAACAAAAACAAAATGGTGATGTTCTATTTATCATTCCTTTTCCATTTATCAACCAAAATACTCCTCACAAAAGAAACTTCCTCTCTTCAATTATTTGGTTACATTCAGGTACAGCTGGCTCCTTAGCATACTCCAAAGAAAACTAGTGAGTTGTTTTGTGAACTATCATTATGAACTCATACCTTCTCAACACTAAAATTCATGCTAACTGTGAATATGAACTTGTAAGTCCTTACTATTTGAAATATTAAATATATTTACTATGCTGTGCCCCCTTGAAATCATAGAAATGGCATTATCAGTATTAAAAATATATTTATCTTATTTTACTAAAAAACTAATTAAACATTTAAAGCCCTGTCATACTACCTAGCTAGCATGCACCACTGTGAAAAAGCAGGATCCTATTCTTACCATTTCTTCACAAAATGCTGAAAGGACATGTCTTTGGTGGTCAAAAATTGCTTACATCCACAATTTTTACTACTTTGATATTAAATCACAATCAGAAGATGCTGATTACATTACTGAAGGGGCACCTGGATGGCTCAGTCAGTTAGGAGTCAACTTTTGATTTCAGCTCAGGTCATGATCTCAGGGTCCTAAGATCTAGTCCCACAGCAGGCTCTGGCTCTACACCTAAGCGTGAAGTCAGCTTGGGATTTTCTCTCTCCCTTATGCCCCTCCCCCCTGCTTGCACCCTCTCTCAATAAATAAGTAAATAAATAAATAAAAACTAAAAAGATTCAAATCACATTACTGAATGTCAATTCTCCCTGAAAAAGCAAATAGGAATTGATACCCTGGTATAATTTATTTTCCTCACAGATTAGGTGCAGCCTTTCCTGTAGCTAACCTCATGAGGCTTTGATCACAGGAACCAATGCAACTTTTCCAGGCAATACTGGCTTTAAACAAAGGCCACCAACCACCACGAACAACAACAAAACAAAACAACAACAAAAAACTCCTCTGCTGCAGTATGGATTTCTCAGTGATAAACAGTAACACATCTCTGTGAAGTGCTGGTATGTTCTCTAAACATCAGTGCTTTCATCCAACTGAAAAACAAAAATTCTGCTAGCGTGCACACATGACAGTAATTGCTTTTCCAGATGGTATGCCTTTGATAAGGGATTTTTGCCAAAAGCTCATTTTACTTTCTTTCCAAGCATAATATTTGCCATTAACTTTGAAACTGGTTTTACAAGCTTCTCACTAGTAGCGCGAGTTGACCTGTTTTCTGCTATGAGAAGGGTAACTGTGAATGATACTTCAGTACTGTGGTCTTCTCTTTCTTTAGCAACAACATTCATTAACCTCACACTAAGTAGCATTATTTTATATAATTTACACACATTTCACTTTTCATCACAAGTCTAAAAAGCAATATTTCTAAGACAAAAATATTAATTCAATTCCTCAGGGTGGCATGAAAGTAGAAGAGTCAAAGCCTGTGCTCTCCATCATGCCGCAGAGAAAACTGTAGTAAGGGAATACCTATTCTTCTCTTGTTGACATTTGTTTTCAAGCGTCCAAATAAAATATTTTTTAAAGGTACCATTTTAACTTAATGTAAACTGTTATCTAAGACATAACCTTATAAACGTTCTAGGGCCATAATTCAGGTATTGATTTTGTCTTGATCCTCCTTGAAAAAAACCAAAACCCCACGATCTCAAAATCTAAAGTCCCCTCAAAAAAATTTTTTTTTAAATATTGTCAAAATGTATCCTATAAAATTTCTGAGCACAAGTTTGTGAAATTTTCACTATTTTTCATTTCCAAAGGGGAAAATGAAAAATACTAATGAAGGATATCACGTGCAAATGCTTGTAGATGAGTGGGGAGATATGAGAAATTGAGGAATTAGAGACACTTTCATTTAAGGATTAAGCAAATAAATTTAGCTATAGGGCACTTTCACAAATAGAACCATAAACAGTTAACAGCTACAACTAATTAGTCAGCAAATTGATTAGAACTTCCTATTCCCTAATCTTAACTTTTAGGATCTGAACACAGTACTATAGTACTTAGAAAGGGCTTCCAAATTTTGACTTTATGTGCTTGTTTTATGATTTTTTTTTAAGATTTTACTTATTTATTCATGAGAGACATAGAGAGAGGCAGAGACAGGCAGAGGGAGAAGCAGGCTCCATGCAGGGAACCCGATGTGGGGCTCGATCCGGGGCTCCAGGATCACGCCCTGGGCTGAAGGCAGCACTAAACTGCTGAGCCACTGGGGCTGCTCATTATGATTGTTTTTAAACAGGTTTTCAGATGGGTGTATTTAGCTTCCTTAGCCCCAAGAGTAAACATTTGAAGTAAAAGATTTCTTCAACTTCATTTATAATGAAGTTATAGAATAATTTATATTCTTCCCTATATCTAAACTATTCTTTGCAAAGCTTGGACTTTCAACTAATGTTGTTAAGTGTTAGTTGAAAGAAGATATCTTTAAAAAACAAGGGAAATGGTTCTGATAAGACACATTATATATTTAATTATCATTACCATTTGATTCAAAATGATACCAAAAAATTTTGAGGAGTATAATATATCTACTAGCTGCCAAGAACAGTTTTAAAAATTCTTATCGAAGCAATCTAATTCTTTTCATCTGCTACATGATTTGAGGTAACTTTACTTTCACAAACATTGTTCAGTTATACCACCTCCTTTAAAAGGTTACATATAACTATAGCAGTCTTGGGATTTTCCAATATCATGGATTCTTACTATTTTACAATTTACTACGTTACATATTCTTCTTCCAAAACAACAAAATGAAATTAATAATCCTAGTAATAAGTGATAGATTTTTCTCACATTTTCTTCTTTGTAGTCAAGATTAATTTACAAACCTCTATAATGTATACAGAGAATCAACCAACTTTGACCAGATCCCTAAAATAATTATTTTCCATACTTCTTTCCTATTTGGAAAACATAATTAGAAGAAAAAAATTTTGTTTTTAAATAAACACCAACCTAACTATATCTAGTTTGGCATATATGTGATTTTAGAAAAATAGAGTACAGTGTTTGTTTTCTGTTAACACTGTATTTCCTTTGATTGTTTTCAACAGTCTTATGTAGTCTTTAAAGTTGGGAACCACCCCATGACTTGGAAGTGTCACTTGGTTCTTTAATTATATATCTCCCTTTCTGGTCTAAGGGAAACTACCCCATCAGATCCCAAAGGTCCTACATGGATAGTCTATGAGGAGTAAAAGTGATACTTCTTAGTGAATAGAAAACTCTTAATAATAAATTTAGGAGTACAGGAACAAAAAAGTTTCCAAATCAAACTAAAGGACCAATCACTAAGATTTCATGTATCACATGAGCTGACTCTGAGTGCTAAATTCAGCTGCTAATCTCAGATGGTCATGACATAAAATAATTACTAAATTGACATTTATTTATTCCAGATCTTCTAACATAGTTTACTCAGTCTTAATCTGCACTCAGTATATTTATCATTGACATGCTTAATTAAATATAAAGATTACCTCCCTTTAAAATCTCGATTTTTTTCTCAACTAGTTTTAAGGGGAAGTGAGTAGGGAAGGGTGAACTATTCTATTTCCCGCGGCACCTGGGTGGCTCAGTTAGTTAAACATCTGACTCTTGGTTTCAGCTCAGGTCCTAATCTCAGGGTCATGAGACTGAGCCCTGCGTCGGGTTCCACGCACAGTGTGGAATCTGCTTAAGACTCTCTCTCCCTTTCCCTCTGGTCCTCCCCACTGTGCTCTCACACATGCTTGCTCCCTCTAAAATAAATAAATAAACCTTTTTAAAAAAATAAAAGCTAACCACTAACATAAAAACTTCTAAACTTATGAAATCTATATATAGAAACCAACATTATAAATGACTTCCAATGAGTCAGATTAAAGTAAATTTGTGCCTCAAATACCTTAGAAAAAGTAGAAATCCTAAATCTTGGTGTCTTCATTTGGAACCAAAATTTCCTACTGCATGCTCTTGCTGATGGTCCTTGATTTTATCATCAGAGTGAATTCCAGTTGCATTTCCACTAATATGGACAGATCTAAAGTAAGAGAAAGAAGATACATTTAGTCTACTGAAAACATGACAGACTTTAGATTCTGCTACATATCACTATTTCCCTGTAAGCATGCAGATTCTTATACAAATGCTTTAGTTGTTCAAGAAAGGCCAATTCTCTTTCTTGTCCCCACTACATATTTTAAAAATTGAGATTAAAGATTAAAGGCTAAATAAAGTTAATAAGAGATCATTAGTTACTAGCTTTCAAAAGTTCAGATCCCTAATGAAAGTACGCAGAGCAAATTGGGCTTTGCACTGGAATTCCAAGGAGACCACGACCCTCAACTATCAGCTTACTCATCAGAGGTGCTGACATCACCCAGCAGCAGTGGCTTCAGTAATCTGTTTCAGGTAAAGTGGAACAATAGGAGAGAATGGGATTCCTAGCAGAAGGTACCTCAATGTAATGGCTAGCATTCATTACTGGATACTGGCAGCGGGATAGGACAAATTAGATTTTTCTAAACTAATGGTAGTACTATGTCTTCCCACATTTATCTCAAAGCTAACTCCTAGAGGCACCTGGGTGGCTCAGTTGGTTAAGTCTGCTCTCAGCTCACTCAGGTCATGATCCCAGGGTTGTAGGATTGAGCCTCCACACCACCACCCCCAATCCGGTCAGGCTCCCTGCTCAACACAGTCTGCTTCTCCCTCTTCCCCTGCCCCTCCCCCAGCTCATGCATGCTTGTGAACACTCTCCAATAAATAAAATAAAAAATAAAAATAAATAAAAAGCTAACTCCTAACACTGGAGGGACTTGGCAGACATAAGAAATGTGAAACCTACCAGCTTTCATTACTTAAAGCATAACTGGTTTAGGCTTTCCCACCAAGGGCTAAGCTTTCTACTAAATTAATATTCCCTTAGATTACAGAGTGGATTAGGACCACAGAAATCATTGTATCTCAGGTCAATTCAGGAATCTTGCTAGTTAATTCTACCTATGGCTTCCACCCATCACCCTTGGGCTTTACTCAAAACACAAACCATTCTGGCCAACTCACCTCTCCCCTATTTTCATGTCCACAGTGTCTGTCCTCTGTGCTTTCTCACTCACCTCATGGGTTCCCCTACCATTGCCCTTCCTTCCAAACTTTTCCCTGGGGAATTTCTGGAAACCTCTTTTATATAGAGAAACAGATCACCTCTACATCCTCAACCTATCAATGAACGCTTCTTTCAACCACTGGGCTAAATCTGACACTTAAGAACCCTCTAGAATGAAGGCTAAGGCAGTAGGCACCCTAACTCACAAGCAATCCCATCCCTTCCCTCAGGCTCAGGCCATGTGGTTGTTCTATACTCTTCTCTTCATCATTCAATACCCCAATCTATCTTTTGTAACCTAGGTCCAGATTTAATCCCTTAGATGCACTCCACCTACTCTCATCTCTCATCACAGTTAGTAACTGTGCTATTACAGTCTCGAAATCTTGTTTGCCACCCAAGCTATCAATCTACCTAATATGTTACTTTCTTCTTTCCACTTCACTACCCACAAATTCCTAATCCTGGTTCAATTTAATCACCTGCTAGGAAGAAAATACCCAACCATGTGGACTGATCCTGCTATAACATTAAAGTCTTCAATTTTTGACACTGAATGTTATCCAGTGAGCCTTTTATATGTCATTAATCAGGTCCTTCCCCCATTACTCACACTGCCTTTCTTTCCAAACTTTTGCCACACTTCATCTTCCAATCCTATGGGGGGTGGGGTAGGAGAGGAGTTTCTTCATGTTTTCCTTAATAGTTTGTGTAGGTTGTTTACATTGTGAAAACACTGTTTCTTTCATTCACTGAACATTTTCTCAATTACTGGCTTTTAACATAAAAGTTTTTTCTTTTTAGGTGGCCAGATTTGTCATGCCTTCTCCATTTCTTTTATATTTCTCTGCTTAGAAATTTCTTCCCTTTCAATGATAGCAGATACATACTCTTGATTTTTACCTTTTTATGGGCTAATTGTTCCAATACTTCATTCCAAAAGATTTATGGAATGAGATTTTACTCTAAACTGTTTTCTGAATTGCCAGTCAGTTTTCCTAAAAACATTCAGTAATTCTTACCATCCTTTGATTTATAAGGTTGCCTACACACACTGTTCCTTTCTGTTTTAAGGGACCATCCATTCCACTACTGAGTCTAGAACTGAAATCTAATAGTGCTAGAAAGCCTTATTTCTTTCTTCCTTTTTCTTCCTTTTTCTTTCCCTTTCTTTTCTTTCTTTCTTTCTCTCTCTCTCTCTCTCTCTCTCTCTCTCTCTCTCTTTCTTTCTTTGATATGTTATTTATTTATTCATAAGAGAGGCAAAGACATAGGCAAAGGGAGAAGCAGGCTCCCTGCAGGGAGCCCGATATGGGACTCAATCCCAGGATCATAACCTGAGCCAAAGGCAGAGATGGTCAACCACTGAGCCACCCAGAAGCCCTGAAAGCTACCCTTCTTACATATTTATTCACCTGGAGTCAGATTCATAAAACCTTGTTCTTCATAATTTTCTGTGTTCTGCATTTATCTTTTAATCCATAAAATCTGATTTCCATAAAATAAAGGTATCTCACATACAATTTTTATTTCATAGGCCAACATTTTTTGTCAGCTCTGAAGTATTTTTCAGATGTTCCTATTGTCTTTCAAGATTCACACAGTTATGTTTATTACTTTTAGTTTACTTTTTTTTTTCTAAGATTTTATTTATTTGAGAGAGAGTGCAAGCATGGGGTGGGGAAAGCAGACAGAGAGGGAGAAGCAGACTACCTGCTGAGCAGTAAGGCTGATGCAAGGCTCAATTCCAGGACCCTAGGATCATGACCTGAGCTGAAGGTAAACGCTTAGTCTCCTGAGCCACCCAGGTGTCCCCCAAAAAAATCAACTAAAATTTTAACAAATTCTTAAAGACCAAAAGTAGACTCATGTGTCAGTTTGGAATGGCTGGGGATCCAGACACAAGGGGAGTTTATACTCAACTGTAAGTTCTTCTACATGCCTCAACCAGGTGCTCACAAGAAAAATTAAAGGTAAATTAGAGAGAGCCCTGCATCAATGAGGCAAGTGAGCAGGACGTGACAAGTACTGGCCAGAATCCCAGCCTGATGCCCCAACCTTTCCTTAAACACAGAGCAAAAGCCTAGAGCCCCTAGGGGAAGCACAGAAAGACCCTCTCACACTAGGGTCCATGCAAAAATCCGCTGCCTCAGAGGAGGACAGAAGCAAAATGCCTTTGCCTCTGGAGGAGGGGGAGAAAATAGTGTCAAGCCCGCAGACACAGGCAAAGATACACTGATGCAGGAAAAGTTAGAGGCAAAAAAGAATTCTGCCACTACTGGGGAGGGAAAACAGGAAAAAGTCTTGGACAAAGGATCCTACACCAGTACCAAAAGAGATCAACTACCACGGTGGGGGGATGGGGGGGTGGATATTCTTCCCCATGACCAGCTACAAATGGCAGAGCTTGATTGCCATGTGGGAGAAAGAGGAGAAAAGCTAAGACCCACCACCAACACCCAGGAACATAGGGCCTGACCAGGATTAAGTCTGGACTACAAACAGAGAATCCCATCCTGCCCCACAAGCAACAATAATCACTAGAAGAGGACAATAACATAAAGAGAAATCTCTCTGGTGCACAGATATGCAAATATTGTTGAAAGATGAGGATGGTATAGGAACACAGAAAAATCCTGTAGGATCACGTGCCACACTCTAAACACAAGGGAACAGCAGCCAACTGTTGGAAAAATTTGAAGCCTGAGGTACAATGAAGGTAATGAGGGTAAAATAATCCAAACCAAGTTCAATTCGTGATTAGATTGACTCAACCTCCAACACAAACAGCCTGACAGAAGAAGATAATTGCAATCTCTCCTATTCTTCTGTACACAATGATGAGCTTTAAATAAAAAATTACACAAAAGAAAAGAAAAAAGCTCTTTGTCAAGAGATAAAGCAACCAACAGAACCAGAAATGATTTTGCTATTGAAACTAACATTTTTTTTTGAAACTAACATTTAAAAATAACTATAAATATGTTAAATGATCTAGTAGGAAAGATGGACAACATGCACAAACACATGGACATTTTCAGCAGTGAGATGGAAACTGTAAAAGAAAGGAAAAATATAAAAGATAGAAATAAAAAAAAATTTATTAGAGAAAAAAAATTCCTGAGACCGGCTCAACAGCAGTCTGGACACAGAGGAGGAAAGAATCAGTGAACTTAAAGACAAGCAAACAAATATTTCAAAATAAAACCACAGTTTAAAAAAAGTGAAGGAAAAACACATCTCAGGGCATTCAGGAGTTGTAGAACTGTATCAAAATAACTTCAAACAAATTCCATTCAATTGAAGCTGCAAGAAAAGGAAACAAACAAAAAACAAGATAGAAGAAATATGTAAATAAAGGCCAAGAATTTTTCCAAATCAATCCAAGACAACAAACCAGAGAGCAAAAAATCCTAGAGAATCCCAATCATAGTAAGAAAATGTATACACACACAAATATACATGGATATATCACAGCCAAAATACAGAAAAACAAAGATAAAAATCTCAAAGGCAGAGAAAAAAATTACATACAAAGAACAAAGATTAGTATTTCCTTTTCTTCAGGAAGTTACACAAGCAAAAAGACATTAAAGTAGAAAGATAAAAAAGCTGAACATAGAATTCTATAGCCAGAAAATTATTTTTTCAAAAATGAAGAAAGAATTTTTTGACAAATAAAATCTGACAGAATTCACTGCCTGCAGACACCAAAAACGTTAAAGGTAGTTCTTTCGGCAGGAATGAAAATTACCAGGTAAAAATGTGAATCTACAAAAAGGAATTATGAGGATTATAAAGAAAAGGTAAATATAAAAGCCTTTTTTAATTTTTAATCATTTTAGAAGGTTATATAAGAACA